GTGCACATTCTTATTTTAGTCGTAAATTCAGATATAAATATAATTATAACAACATAAGTTTTTTTTCAGCCAACAGTTATCAACATTGGTTTGAAAACAAAATAAAATAAGTAGATTCTCATCCATTACTTGTTCAATGTAATACTGTCATATATAAACTAAGACAGGAATATATAGAAAACAGGAAGGTAGCATAAGAAACTTTTTTCAAGGAATATAATTTCCAAATACAAATACTCAGTTTATTAATCAAAAGAAAATTCTCTTACAGATAAGCACCACACCACATTGGTTTAATAACTTAATAAGTCTACTCCCAATACGAGATTCCCATAAAATCATTAACAGTTGCTGAATTATTATAAGCATATGAATCGGATGATTATACCTAACACTTATTTTTATCCATAGTTATGGGAAACACATATATATTGATATATAAAGAGGTTATGAAAATATAGAATGCACCAAAAACACTATATAATAGTAATTTTTCATACTTCATCCAAGAACTTAAAAAATAGATCCACATCTTAATGGATCCAGATATTTAATTATCTTTCACTAAAGTATGTTTTCTCCCTATCCAAAGACACAGAGATAAATTAAAGACACATAAGTATAATAAACCTAAAACATGTGATGACTCCAATAAAATCGGAGAAATATAAAACACAATAACAAACGAACAGGTTTTTATTGTTTAGGTTCCTCGAGATCATATCAAAACCCAAAACAGAATCAGTAATAATTAATATATATGCTAGCTAGGGCTTCAAGAAATTGAAAACCAATGTTGAATTGACACCAAATCACACACACACACAATCACATGTATACCTAAATCTATGTACATATATAGCAGCAGCCAACAGTTAAGAACAATATCCATTAAGCAATGTTTTTGTTCTACTAGTGTCAAATTGTTTCAATTAGGGGGAAAAATCAGAAATCAAATATTTAAGTCACAAATTCTATCACCAAATCCTACAAAAAAATATGTTTTGTTCTTAATCATTACACTGACCAAAACACAAAAGACCTGGATTAAAACCCATATATAGATATACACATCAACATACATGTGTAGAATATAATCGACTATGGTCGAAATCAAATCTATGATGTAGAACTACGAAGTGCTTTAGATATGAAGAAAGATTAAGACTTTTTTTTTCATCGCAGACGAACACAAATAGAGTTTCACAGAAAGAAAGACAAAAAACATAAAATTCTACAAAAACGAAAAATAAGATAAAAACCTAACCTTAAACATAGTGAACAAGATAATAAAATGTCCGAAATCACGATGATAACTTTGAAATTCATTAGAAACTTCTCTAACCTTTCTTCTCGCAAATTCTTCGCCGGAAAAAAGCTCCTCCGCCGAGTAAATTG